TCCCTTCTTGCACTGAACTTGCAGGGGAAGGTCATGGAGGAGTCTGGAGAAAAACCCTTTTCGTTTACGTTAGTCTCAATAACTCTCTTTTTAAAATGCCGGTAGAATTACTCTGGGGCTAAGTCATTGTGTTACTATATATTGTATTTGCATTCGCTCTCATTTTACAAATAAGGAAACCGAGGCCGATGTTCAGAAAACGGCATGGCATGACTCTGACTCAGACTAGAATTACAGCACTCATTTGAATCAACCTTGCCGGATCTGAGTAAAACGTCTTGCAAGAAACAGATCGCTAGGGGAGAAAAAGGACTTCGGGGGAAATTTAATGAGAACCCATTACATGGGGAGAAGACAATGGGTTTCACTGGATGAGCCCCAGATTGTAGCAAGTTTTCCCTGGTTGCAGACACCCCACTGGGACCATTCTGGTCTGTTCTGCTTGGGGGAATGGCAAACCCCATCCTCTTCGCCCTCAGTTCTGGGCTCCCACATAGGAAGCCAGACCGCTGGTTCCTCTCCATATGTAGCCTCCCAGCCTCACTCTGCTTTAACGGACCCCTCCTCAGGGGAGCCGCTGACGCTCCCTTTGATTGGCTGTTGACAGTCAGGCTGGGGCTTCTAAGCAGCTCCTTGTTAATCCTGAAAGATGACTATTTTATTTTTTTTATTTTTAGAGTCTTTGTCACCACCTGCAGACAGAAGCAGATGATTTAAGAGGTGAGCAAGTAGGAATTCTGTGACCTTCACACGGAGATATGCCTGGCATCGGTGGACACAGTCGAGTTGCTCCCTGACTTGTCTGCCTTTGTGTCCTGGCTCTACCCTCAGCGTTAGATGAGCAGCTTCCTGTTACCCTCTGAAGGGCAGGATGGCTGGGCAGGCTCAGAGGCATCTACCGCATCTGGAAACGTCCTTTGCAAATGCTGCGCTAGTAACAGACTTGGGTAGACACCATTTGGCAGAGAAAGTGCCATCTTTTAGGGCAAAGGGCGGGGGAGGCAGGTACATAAAAATACATGTCAGGGTAATTTAGTCTATTTGAATGTATCAATAAAGAGAGCTACTTCACTTGTGCATTTTCTAAACCAAGACCAGGAAACACACACTTCTCTGTGACATATAATAAGATATAAACTTCAGTTTCATTTTCTAGCCAGGAGAGTGAGAAGAAGGCCAAGGAAAGGAGAGAATGTGGCAGTAGGAGAAAAAGAAAGAGGACAGGCCACCTGCTCCGGAGAGAAGAAAAGGGACCATGCCTAAGGGGTGCTGCCTCCCCGATCTCCTCGCCCTGATCATGTCCAGCTGCTATCAATAATGATGTGGTTCTGGAAAGAGCGGTAAGGAGGACCAGGCCCGGGCTCGCTTTGTGGAACGAGTGACATGGCTTACTTATAGTTGACTGCTAGAGGCCCCTGGACACTGTGTGCTGATGCTCTCCGAGCCCTCTTCCCTTAGCCTGCTGGACAGGCCACAGTCCCCGTCAGCATCTCCTGCTGGTGGACTTTGGGCCCACCCCTTCCATGCAGCAGAGCTGATAGGCTGACTGCAGAATTGAAGTTGGCCCCCAACTGTTCACTCCAGACTTTACAGATTTCCGTATTTCTTCCACTTTAGCTATTTCTGCTCCTATGTGCTACCATACATATTCATGCAAATGCAGAAATTTCAGAAGGTGCAATTCTCTTCCAATGTAAACCTGTTCCATGAATACCTTCTGCAACAAACTGCCTCTAGAAAATGCCTGTGGATGTCTTCCCCAGCTGTTGAAGAAGGGGTTTTATTGTCCTCCATGGGTTTAGACAGGAAAAGAGTAAGTTTGGGCTGACAAGCTCCCTAGAAGACCTCCCTTTCCATTAACTGCTGTTTCCTCTATGCTTTCATCCCATGTCCAACCATCAAATCGCCCTCAGCCATGGCAGCGGTGGCTGAAGGTTGTTTATTTGAATGAACTATTTTCTCCGTATTATATGTAGCCTATACTTTTATACTTTCCCCAATTTTTTATCATGTTTGCCAGCCTCCATTGTTGGTTCTATCCGGCATATCAGCCCTTCTGTTGAATGGCATCCACCTTTCAGGCTAACCCAGGCCTCAGGACCTGGCTTCGTTTTCACTGAGAGTCTTGGCCAAATGCCTATGGCCTCAAGTCCCCATCCAGGCCTCAGTATTACTGCCAGGCCAAGTTCATCCAACACTTCCACGTTCCTGGACTTGAACCAACACCCACTTGGACCACTCCCTTCCTAGCACGTCTGACCGACTTGTAGCAGGCCCAATAGCCCCATTAACTATGAGTGTTTGGGACTGGACAAAACCACCTTCTTCAAGACCATCTGTGGAACATTCACCAACATTCCTCTCAGCTATGTGTCCTTTGAGTTGCCGAGGGCGAAGCCTTCTCTCTACTGTAGAAATATATGTACACGCAGTCAGGTTCATCTTAATCTCCACGGATTCATATGCATGAGGTTGTCAGGAGCAGGGTGCTGGCCAGAGGAGAGATGTAGTTACCGACACTTAGAGGGGGTCCAGAGAGAATGAAAGCATGAGGACTCAGTTTGGCTATGTAATCTGGTTCCCTTGGCCAGTGTAGAAACAGCCCTAGACTAATGCTTCTCAACTGCAACGGACAGGTGAGTCGCCCGGAGAACTTGCTAACTTGCAGTTCTCACTGAGCAGGTCTGTGGGAACAAGCCTCCATCTGATGCCAGTGCCACCGGTCCCACCAGTCTGTGGACCACACCGAGTTCTAGGGGCTAAGGTCCTCTCCCACTGGGTCTCAAATTATTCCCATTGCAGGTTCCTCTGACCTACCTGAGAGCCACCATTTGCACAATGAGAGTATAGAACCGCCTCGTCTCTTAGCCCCTTACAATGCAAATATGTAATGCTCTACGTAATGTGCTATATCCTGGTCAGCAAATGTCAGCTCTACTCTAAAATCTTCCCCAATTTTCCAGTGGAAGTTCACACTCTGATATCTTTTCATGCTTCAATTCAATTCAGCTTAGAACAGAACAGTTCAATTCAATAAAATTCAGAAGCTTTCACTGAAAATTTTTGATATGTCAGGCAGTGACTTTCTTTGAGACTAAAGAGTGGAAGGTTTAATAAAAGTGTAAGATTTGGGTAGACAAATGAAAGAGTAGACTTGGGGAGAAGAACTTATTTCATTCTACAAGATTTCTCAGTAGCTTATGCAAAGGTGAAGAGGCAGCCTGGTATGGCACCCTCTAGAGCTGGACCACGTGTGTTTGGGACTCATCCTCAATGCTCCCTAGTTGTGTGATCTTGGACAAGTTTCTTAACCTCTCTGTACCTTGGTTTCTGCATCTTTAAGATAGGGATAATAGCACCCACCCCAGAGGGTTGTTATGAGAATTAAATAAATCAATGTTTATAAAGCACCTAGAATAGCACTGACACATGGCATTTTAAAGAAATGTTTGTTTGACAAATGTAAGTTATAAAGATACCACTCAAGAAAAGTCAGGGTTGGAGATAGGATTTGGGAGCTGTCAGTGTGTAGGTGTTGTCAGGGCCTAGGAGCAAAAGATATTTTCCATGGAGAATGTAAGTTGCAGAATGAGTGGCAAAGAAATTAACTCTTTGGGGAGTACCAATATGTAGGGGGTGAGCAAAGGAAGAGGATATGATAAAGAAGACTGAGAAGTAAAGATGACTCATGAGAAAGTGAAGTCAGAAGCCAAATAAGTAGAGAATTTCAAGAAGGTGATAGTGGCCAACAATGATAGATGCCAGAGCAACATCAAATGAGACAAGGAATAAAACAAAGCCATTTGTTCACGTGGCTAATAAAGCGTGTTTCAGGTGACATAGAATTCCTATTTATGTTGGTCTTCACCCACTAAGCCATGAGTCCTAATGTAAGGGACTGAGTTTATTATTCAGCCTTGCATTCCCAGGGGCCAGCACCGGCTGCAGCCCAGCAGGGCTTGCTCAGTGGTGTTGAAATGTTGTATTTGTTGCTAGACTCTCTGATGACTCCTGCTGCCTACTGGTGTACATCACGCTGCTTGTCTATCGAATAATGGGGCAAAACAAAGTTGAGGAAATCTCAATTCCTGTCCTTTATTTTCAGGGGGCCCATGGAGAAAGCAAGGCCAATACTTGTACGTACTAGGCATCGTTTTCATGCGATCTGGGGTCATTGTGGAAGTGGAGATGAGGTTATATGCAGTCTGGGGTGGGGGGAGAGCTGGCTGCTGAAAATCTCAGGCAAGGCCATCTTCTTGGTGTTCAGTGTCTTGTGACTGTGACGGCAGCCCTTCCCTTTAGCTCGACACGCACTAGCAAGGTCCCACAGCTTCTGGCTGGTCTGTCCACCGCCAAAGGCTCTCTGGTGACAGTCATCTTCACTCTCAGGAGACCACATGACCACATGTCGGTGGTGCTGAGGGAGAAACAGGTTGGGTCAGCTTCAAGTTGCTATCAGCCTGGGTAACCACGGAAGGTGATCAGGAGAGCAGAGCCCAGAGCTTGTCCAGGTGGTCAGCTGATGGTAGACGGGGAAGTCCTGGGTGTACAGGTTTATGCTGGTGTCTAGGCTTCTGCAGGGTTGTTGGGTTAATTGAGACTGGCAGGTATGGGGGATGGTGAGCCAGAGGAAGGAGGGGGAAGCCTGTGGGTTGTGCGACTACTGAGCCACCTGCTGAGAAACAGTAATCCCCCCCACCCCAAGGTCCCCAGGTAAGGGGGAGGGAGCAGCGGCTGGGGCAGTGGGCTGGGATGGTGCGGGGAGCTCTGATTCATTCTGGTGTTGACAAACAGGCTGGATTCCTTTAGCTCCGCTGGACTCTGCCCTTTCAGGATGTACAGGCAGCGTCAGCACAACTGCTAATGGGGCTTTGAGAGTCTCCCTTTGATGAGCTTGTCCCAGAAAGCAGGTATTAGCCATTTCTGCTGGGGAGGCAATGAAGGCATTTGCAGCTGAAATCGGCTTTCCTGGATGCTCTAATCAAGCGGAGACTTTCAGAGCCCCATTAGCAGTGTGCTGACGGCAGCTGTACATCTGGACTGGCCCGGTTCAGGAGGGCAGCGCTGGGTACTCCTACCCAAACCTCCAGGAGCTCCCTTCAGACCAAAGCCAGCTTCTCGTCCACCAATAAGCTGTGAACCGCTTAGGAGAGACCTTGTCTCCTATTCTGGGGCCTAGTATGGAAGCCGGCACAAAGCAGGTTCTCAGTGCCTGCTGATGGAACTGGTGAGCATCTTTGTGGGGGTGGAGGGAGCCTGTGGCTAAAGGGAGGAGGAGGTCACATATGGACGGCTCCCGGCCCGCTGCTGGCCCCGGGGAGCACTTGGTGTGAGTTTATAGACAGGAAGGGAGGTCAGGGCAGGGACTGCACAAGGTGGGTTGTCCTATCAGCTTGTTCCTCCTTCATGATCCAAAGCAAATTCCAGGAGTGGGGGGTGGAGGGTGGATGGACCAACACAGCAGCCCGGTTAGGGGTCAGTTTCTGCCTGACCAGGTGCAGTTCTCCAGGTGGATACGCCTCCAACCTCTCCTGTCATCTCCCTGAACCACGGAGGTTTTTGAGAAGACCTGCCCAGGAGCTCAGGAAAGGAATGGAAACAATAGATAAACAAGTGGAACGAAATAGACAAGGCGCAGACCACCAGAGCCCTGCCCTGGCTTTCATCCCAGCCATTTGACCCCAAATGGGCCCCAACTCAGGAAGGTCTTGGGGAGCTGCTGGGGTGTGACGGGCCTCCTCACCCCGGCCTCTGTCATTTGAATATTTCCACTCAGGACTTAGTCAGTGCACATCTCTGAGAGCCCTCTAATCAGAGAAATTTACTCTCAGAGATGCAGGAATTAATCTCCGTTAGTGTTGTTGTCAGTCTAACTGCCTTCCTGGTGCCAGACGTGGGGGCGGGGGGCGTCCTGGGAGGGAGCTGCCGCAGGCTCGGCGGGGACAGGTGGGGCTTCACCTTGGCCGTGGAGACTGAGCCGGAGGCATGTGGAGCCCGGGGAGCCCTGCTCCTGCGTTCAGCCCCCCGCAGTGCCACGCACGGGGCTTTGCAAACGCCGAGTGATGAGAATGTGTGACTACGTGACGGAGGACAGGACACGGTTGCACTGGGAAGGACTCCAAAGCCCTAGGACCACCAGGGAGGGACAGTAGGTGCGGGCAGTCGTCACTGCTCCCCAGTTGGTTGAAAACACACACCTGTCTTTTGAGCCATCCTTCAACGGGTGCCTGTGTGGCAGGGCGGGCGGGGGGGCGGGCAGTGGGGACAGGGACAGACCCTCAGTTGCATCTGTGAAAAGTTTGTAGCCCACTTGGAGGTTCACAGATCCCCGCCATCTTCAGGCACAGAGAAAGGGTGATGGAAAGACTCCTAGGTTGCTGACCAGTAACATGCATATGCCTAGCGCCATCCTCCTACACGCATTTCACTCCTCTCATTGCTCACGGAGGGTGTACTGTGGAGAGCTGCCAGCTGACGTCACACTTGTCCACACCGCAGCGCTTGCTGTCTTGGTGCCAAGCTCCCTGCGCGCCCGTCGGGAGCCGCTGGTCCTGGAGCAGGTTTCCAGGTGAACTGCGGCGCTCTCTGGCACAGGTTTCTTTTCCAGGATCAGGAAATCGGAGAGTCTTAGCTTCTGAGTGAGGTGCTTAGGAAAGCATGGGCCTGGGGACCCAGAGAGAAGCTTTGCCACGCTGTCCTCTGTGACCTTGGAAAAGTCCTGTCCTCTGGTCCTCAGTGTCCCCATCTCTAAAAGGTGGTGAGGAGACAAAATCTTTCCTGAGTTTTTGAGCAGCTACTGAGGGAGTAGAGCAGGGTGATGGCCTTAGACGCCTACGGTGGCGAAGAGAGGGACAAAGTGGCCAGAACGCACGCCACTTTCCCAGTCGCGCGCCACGCTGTAGGGGCAGCCCTCCTGGGCAGGGCTTCCTGTCCCACACCCTCCATTTCTTGGATGATTGCTTTCTCTGCTACTGGGATTATATATATAACCCTCAAGACAAGTCACTTTTCCATTGGCCTGTGACATGCGACATGAACCATCTATACTACAGATGCAACCATGGATGCTGTCAGTGTTGGCTGGTACCTTGGTGACCTCATGGATCACTGGCCGCCGTGACACCTGGCAGGCCGCTGGAACTCCCCAGGGCCTGTCAGAGCCCAGTCACCTCCCATGTGCAGGCGACCATGGGCCCTGCCCCACCCTTGGGTTTCAAGCCTGTTGTTAGTCTAAGCAACAATCACGCCCTCGAATCAAAAGTGAGGAATTTAAGAGGAGCAGCGCTGCTCACAGGAGTACAGGGAGATAACAAAGCCTCTCCGACATCTTTTCATCCCCAAGCCCTAGGCGGCTGGTCAACAAAGCGCCACGACCGCCCAGGCCCTGCTGGCTGCTGGCTGCTGGCTGCGGGCTGGAGCGCATGGCGAAGCTTCTTGGGCTGCCTGTTGGGGGAGAGGGCGCCGGCCACTCAGGCAGAGCGCAGATTAGCCTGCGGCTGCGGACACCTTTACCTCGTGTTGGTCTTTGTCTCATTGGGCCTCACGAGGGGGCTGAGCGGCTCTCTCTGGTTTTGGACACTTGCTTTTTAATCTTTGTTGCTGCCTTTGAGGTTTACTTTTGGCTCCAGGGAAGGCGGTTGTCGTGGATAGAGCCTCGTGCCTGACTTATCGCGCAGTGTGCTGGAGGAGTGCAGTAACGCGGAATGCTCCCCATGGGTTCAGGGCCAAGGTCACCAGATCCCCTTTCTTGGCCTTCATGCCTAAATGATCTCATCAGATCAAACAGGGAACACAGCTATGAAACACGCCCCTCCCCCAAAGCCATATCCACCTCCGCCACCCCCACAATCCTAACCCTCCTCCACAATCCTAAACCTCTGCCTGCAGGTCATCGCCATTGCAGGAGATTGAGGAAGGGTAAAGGAAGAGAGTGAGTAGTACAGGTCAATAGCATTTTCTGAGACCACTGCTACTTAGAGACCACGGCAGTGGGAAAGTAATTATTTCCAAAATTTGCACAGTGCCCCCTATTTATAACCTGAGTCTTAAAAGAAATAATGCTACACACTTAAAATATAATAACAATGAAACAAAGTTAAATTCAAACTAAGCGTTGCCTCTTTGTTCTTTTCCTATGGTTCCTAGTGTCAGCAAGCAGTGCTATAGAGAAAGAAGCTGTGATTTTAGAATCAAATGGAAATTCGTCCTCGCTCCCACCATCTCTACATCCCCATTTACACATCTATAATACCTTCTTTGTTCTTGTTATGAAGTTTAGGGCATTTATCACGAGCTTGGCACATAGTAGGTGTTCAGTAAACAGAAGTGCTATTCATATGGGAGCATAAAATCTTCAGAAAGATATTACTCTTGGTTACCTTTGTTGCCCTTTGTGTTTAGATTCACCAAGAATCAACAATCCGCCCTGACCGGTTTGGCTCAGTGGATAGAGTGTCAGCCTGTGGACTGAGGGGTCCCGGGTTCGATTCCGGTCAAGGGCATGTACATTGGTTGCAGGCACATCCCCAGTGGGAGGTGTGCAGGAGGCAGCTGATTGATGGTTCTCTCTCATCGAGGTTTCAAACTCTCTATCCCTCTCCCTTCCTCTCTGTAAAAAATCAATAAAATATATTTTTTTAAAAAAGGACTCAATGATCCAAGTTTAGTAACAGATTTGGTCTTGAGTGGCAGAATGGGTCACTTTTCCTGCCTGGGGTTTTCTTCCCTGAAGATTGTCTTGGGAAGGGGACTCCCTTGCAGCCAGTAAGGAAATCACCACTTTTTGCATTTTTCTAGGTGGGGAGGACCAGTGGTGGCAAGGGCCTGGCACTGTGAGATTGGCCTGGCTCAAAAAAGAAGACTGTCCGCAATCCTTTATCAAAACCCCTTGGGGCCAGATGTGTTTCAGAATTCAGGATTTTTTAGGTTTTAGAGAAGTAGGGTGGTATGGCTACAGTGTGTGATGTAAGATCCCTAGCAGTCCAGAGCAGCAGCTCATATAGGAAAACCGGTCAGATTTCGGCAGCAAATATTCATCCAGGTGGGACCAAGGAGGACCACAGGCAGCTCAGGCCAGCTCCGGGCAGGTCTTGCTGCCAAGTGAGTTATGAAAAGTCTTTCAGTATTCAGAGCCTTTTTGATTTCAAAATCACAGATGGTTGGTTTATAACAATACTGAAGATGATGATAAATAATAACAGTTGCATTTGATAAGTGTTTTCCTTGTGCCAGGGACAGTGAGTGTCTGACATGTATTTATTTGTTCTCTCACAACAGTCCTGTGCGGTTGGTATTACTGTCTTCCTTTTTGTGACGGGGAGACCAAGGCTCAGAGAGAGGAAGCAACTTGCCCCAGGTTACACAGCCTAGAACGATCTGATGGCAAAGTACATGCTGATAAAATAGATCAATGTTTTTCCTTGCAAAGTAGGGATTGCCGGACTCTGGGAGTCCAGAGAATTTGTCCTGGGCGGTGGAATATTGCAAGGCTATTCTGGCTGTGTGATTTGAGCTGGGCTAAACGGAACTTAAACTGGTGGTAGCTGAGCGGTGAGGCCAGTGGGGTGTAGGTGACACAAACCTGGCCATTTCCCTGTGGGCAAGCAGGCGGTGTGGACACAAGTCTCGCCCAGGCAGCCTTTGACCTTGGCCTGTTCTCCTACCCCTAAAAGAAAGCCGCCTGCAAGGTCAGGCCGCCTTGTTTGGAACTCAGCTTTCCAGAAGGAGTAAGTGAGCTGCCTCCGGCCCAGACCAGGCCTCTCTGTGTGTGACCTCTATTGTGTGGGCAGAGTACTACAGAGAAAAAAAAATCCTAATGAGCCTTAATGTGGGAGGAAATGGCCATCCTAAAAATAATGCTAGCCCTGTGCAGTAATGACATCATTAGCCAACTCCAGCCTCGAGGGATTCTAAGCACTTTTGACTGGACTTTTTTATTTTTTTATTTTAGCACACGATGCATCAAGTAGCTCTATTATGCTTGTCTGCCCAAGCAAGGGTTGCAAGGCAAGAATTAAGGGAAAGGGCCGTGACATTACTTTTAGTCACATTTTACATAAGTGGAGCAGTTGCTATTTCCAAATCCTTGGCTGGGCCGTCTTCATGACCACAACCAAACATCTGGGAGAGAGGAAATGCTACCATCTGGAGAGGACCCGACGCTGCCCCTTGATTCTGAGTCCTGGGGTGAGAAGAGGGCCTGGGGACTGGGTCAACCAAAAGCTGTGA